AGAGACCCGGGTTCGATTCCCGGTCGGGGCCCCTCCCCGGGCAGATGGAGCTTGTTAGCCCTGTAAGGCAATCCATCTACGTCCTGAGGACCTCGCTGCCACCGTCCAAGCGTGCTTGGCCCCGGCAGATGAACCTCAGGATTAAAGGGTGGGCTCAGTTCCGCGCACACTGTGTCTCACCTAAAAAAATCCAATGCGCAGGCTGGAAGTTGGAAAGACCTTCCCCGGTTCTTCGTTCGCGAAGAGACTGGCCATTAATCTCTACTCGGGAATCCTCAGCTGTTTTCTTTTTCTCTCCTCTGTGGAGTTGCAGAGGGAGCGGGAGGTGGCAGCTTTTAGTGGGTGTTTGAAATCCAGCCAGGTTTGATGGGGCCTTAGCAGTTTTAAACGAGTATGCTGAGTTCTGAAGAGGCCAGGAGTTGACCATTAGACAAACAAGAACAAGTTTGCAGCTGCAGGAATGCAGAGGTCAGCAGAAAGCAATGTGAGAAAAATGGTGATAACAGAAACTTTTCCCAGGAATTTGTGCTTTAAGACAACCAATCGTTGGACTGCCTGAGGCGCTTGAACAATGTAGACTAACCAATCATAATAGCATGCTGTGCTCGTGATTGCATGTCCAAGACTCGAAAGAATATATATTGTGTGGCCTTTGGATAATAAAACGGATTTGAATCTGCATCTTATAGATGTGTCGTTCTTTCCCGCTCACGTGAAATGCCCACAGCATCTGATGACCCCGACGTGATGCGGTTGGGGAGGGTCGAATTGCACCAAGCTGCAGAGCCTGTGAGGGTCCTGCTGCAAGCGAAACTTTAGCTGAGCGCCAGAAGAAAGACGGATTCGTGCACGGTCTGACCTGGTGAGTCAGGGATAAGCAGGATGGAATTAACTGCTTTAGCAGTGGAACAGGCGGTTGTTGATAGCCTAATGAACTTAGCTGACAAGACTAATGCTAAGCTGCTGTCTTCGGTGCTGATAGATTTATTACGTTGATGTCGCCATAGCCTGGCTCAGGAGAGCAGAGCTGGAGCCGAGCTGGAGCCAGGATTGGGACCGGGGCCGCCTCAGATCGCGATAGGAACCACCCCATTTTCTCCCCCCCCCCATTCCCCACCTTGGTGTGTGCCGGAGATGGGCTGAGACAAGGGGGGGAGGAGGGGGGGCGAGGCAAGATGGAGCGCTGTTAGAAGACACAGGAAGGCAGCCGCTCGGAGCCACCTCCCTCCTCCCCTTCCACCCCCCCGCGTGTTCTGCAAAGCACGGCAACTGTGGAATTCCGTAGAGCCCGCCCACAACATTCTTTGAACTTTTAACAATGTTAATGCAATTGAACAAGAGGCAAAGATATGTTTGCTTTGCAAGTTATGGTTTCCTCACAGCAATCACTCACGGATGCAAGACACGGGGTAAAGAATTTTACTCTAAGATTCCAAAACGAAGCTGCTGTAAGATTTAAGAGTGCCTGGGTAGCGTGATGGGAGCCTGGCTACCTTAGAAAGAGCACAGTGATGTTTAAAGAAGCTCAAATGGCTCAGTTGGTAAAGCATGGGACTGCGAATCCCAGAGCCATAAGTTTGAGACCCGCTGTGGAACAAAGTGCGGGACTGGCTGCAGCCCGGTGGGTCACTTCGCTTTTTCCCAAGCAGA